CTCCAGCTCACCCCCTCCACACACACACCTCATGTCTCCTTTCTGCCATTATGCCCAACACCATCACAGAGTCCCATCAATCAGCACAGAGGAGCAAAAGAGCCAATCAGCATGCTCCCTGCAGCTTGAATACTTAGTGCCTTTTGCACTGTTTAACACCTGCAACTGTCATCACCTGTTCTAGACATAACAGCACCCTGGCTGAAAGGTGATAGGAGTGTATTCCAAAGAATAAACATATTTGTGTATAACAATTTTGTATGCATATTAGTTGGCTAATATTTTGTATGTAGATTAGTTGGCTATAATCCCCCCTCCCCAAGAAACCTTGAGGCTAGTTCTTCTCCTTGATATAGTTAATGGCAAGTAATCAAACAGAAGGATAAATAAAAGACTTTGTCATCTATCTTTCACCTTTTCAGGACACCTGCCTTGTAAGAGGCTAGCAAAATGATTTAATCCAGCTTCTTTTTTTTATCGAAATCCTAATTGTAGAGTTCTTGCAGTAATATTTGACCAAAATAAGGCAGTGGTAAGCATACATCCCAAAGAGTAAGGTATGTTGCAAATAGTGGGACTTGCTCCTGAATAAGCCTGCGCAGGAGTATGCAGTGTGTTATTTGAAAGGTGTATAATACCTGAAAGAAGCAGGGAGTTGGACTTTAAGTTGACTTTAATTTGGAACAGCAGTGGAGGATTTAATGTTCTGGGTCTACAAACAACACCTGTCGTTGTGACTTAGTGAAAGTGTGTAGAAAATGGTACAGTAAATTCTAACAAGCTTTTCTGCACTTGTGGATTCTCAGACGCACAGAGTTGTACAAGGAAGGCTTTCATTCTGTCCATTCCACCCTCCCTCCTTGCCAAAGCTCGCGCAGCCACTTCCTGTATTTGGCTTTTCATAATGCTTTTTTTTCACAGTCATCTGCTTCAGTATTGCATGCAGCAGTTAGTTATAGGGACAATTTTAAGGCAGCTTACAGTGGTCTTCTCAATCCCTTGGCTAAAAGGAGATCAGTTGTTCTTGCATCGGTCACTTGTTAGCTGATGACAACCCTGACTTTGACTCTAGCTCCCTTCCCCCACCTGAAATCCCTTGCTCAGCAAATATTTGAACCTGCCCAAGTTAATCATGAAACTGAGATCTTTATCTCGGAGAGACATGCGAGCTACAGGGGACTTTTTAAAAAAAACCTGCTAAAATCAGTGATGAAACAGAAACAAGCAGATAGTCTCAACTAGCACAGAAGCTGATTCTTTCTCAAGGTAAAAGGACTTGGGGGATTTCTGATCCTGCGTGTTGCAACTCTTTCTTCTGGATTTAAGGAGCTGCAAGAATAGCATTCATTTTTGCGGACACGTCTTGGTTATTTCAGGGAAGCTTTTTTATTTCATCCTCTCTGAATTCTGTGGAAATCAGCAAAGCCTGCTCGCCCTCTGGAAGTTTCAGGTTGTCAAAATTTGAATAGGCAAGCGTGTGTCATGCACACTACACAAAGTAAGTGACTGTCAATTTGATAATGGATATCTAAGTTTGTTCACTGTTTAAAGAAATTTGATGCATTCAGAGGATGTGTATACATTTATTTGTGCCTGTAAACCACAGTAATACATGCTACAGTAAATCTTACATGTTGTAAGTAAAGTATAGTCAAAATTGTGCTTGAGTGAAAGTTGCTGCATGCCCAATATGTGTTGGAACAGTGGAAAATCACCTGCTTGCTGCAGTGTCACGGCAAGCTAGACTAGTTTGGGCTCAGCCGTAACCTGATCGTGCAAGTGTAAGTATCCAGAATTTAGTCAGTTGTGAAACTTTGGTGAGAGACTGCTGTTCTTGCTACTGTCTCCACCTTCCCCTCCCCTCTTTTGGAAGCTATTTGAGGAAAATGCAAATAAAAACTGCAGCAACTGGCTCCATGAAGTACAGCAACTCGCTATGTGTGCTTTGTCTCTTTCATAATCTAATTTAAGCAACGTACCTTGGCAACACAGTTATTTGGATAGCAGGTGGGCTAAACCGTCAAGTTCAATGTTTGGACTTGTGTCTGGGACAGCCTGAAGTGTCCAGTTACATGAGGCAAATGGAAGGAATTTCTAGGGCATGTCCACCTAAATGGGCAGGAGTGGGAGGCTACTTGAGTCTGACTCTAAGGAAGACTGTGGCCGGGCATGGAACTTGCACATGTTTTTGCTACAGTTGGTGCTATGACTGTCTTCATAGACTAGGCATGTCTCAAAGAGAAAAAGCAGTCAAGGGGGTTATTCCTATGTGCAGTGTGTATGTAGAAGGTGTAAATAAAATGTATTCATGGCTTTCCTATATTCTATAGCTGCTTCAGTATAACAATGTGGTGATAAGAATGGTACTGATAAATTAAATAGTCTCCATGCCTGGTTTTTGTTTCACTGTAAATGGGCTATAAATATTTAGAAAATATTAAGTTCCATAATAAGCAGGATTTTTCTCGGTAATTGAAACAAAAAAAAAATCACCTGTGGGTTTTGCTTTGAGGTTTTTTTAAGTTCACAGTAGTGGAAAGTGTGTTATAAAGAAGCTTCAGAAGAGTATCAGAGCTGATATGGGGGAGGGTAAGAATCCTTACTTTTTAGGAATTGCCACAATGGCAAATACCTTGATGAGAACAAGACAAAAGAAACCTTGAGAAGCATCTATGTGTGTTTTACAAAGCATGTGTTGATTGGAGGTTTGATTTTAATTAAAGCAACATTGTTTGGCTTTGACTCATTGCTTTGTAAAGGTGTTTTTGTTTGTTTGTTCGTTTATGTTGTGAAAGTTTGACTGGAATTTTAACTGAAGTGCAACACAATAGAGTTACACTTCAAACTGGCTTACTGAGTGAATGATTCCATTACTGTTTCTTATACTTATTAGTACCATGTTTCTGACTGTGTTAAGAATTCAAAATGCAAAATAGTGCACATTTATTGGGGGTTTCCAAAACTTTTCTTTTCTCCTTTTCTCCATGGAAAATTAAAACCCCAAATGTATGTAAAGGAATTCTGATAAGTGCTTCGGTTAAATACTGGAACATTGTGACTGAGAAGCAGTCAACCTTTGTGTAGCAAGAAATCTACTGTATTGAAAGAAAATGCTTCCTACTGCAGCCTATCAGCTTTTTGTCAACCTGCCAGCAGTGGAATGTACCAAGCAACAGACAGAAAAGATTAAGGGGGAGGGAAAGAATCAGCGTAAGCTGAGAACATGTTCAGCGTTCTTTATAAAAAAGATGAAGTGCCGATCATAAGTGTCTGTCCTTTTTGAAACGACAATAAGATTAACAAGGAATAACAAAAAATGATGAAACAGGAGTGGTCCAGCGGCATTATATTTGACATGATTGGCTGGGGATTATGATGTAATAGGTTACAGTGCAGCCCCTTATAGGTTTTAAAATGAATTCCAAGACACCATTACAAAGAGATACTGACTGTTTCCTTATAACTGAGCTTTCTTGGTGAAACTCATACAAATGTACAACACTGTCTGGAACATGGAAGACCTGGACATAGACTATCCTAGGACAGATATAAATTGTGGTACGGACTTGATGTTTTACATAGAAATGGACCCACCAGGTAATGCTGCAGCGTTATTGTTAAAAACGAGTATATTCCGGATGGTAGAAGAGCAGTGCTTTTAGAGCACAGATAGATGCTTAGGATTGACTCTCTGTATTTTTGAATTAAAATGTGTTTAATGCATCAGAAAAGGGGTTAGAAAAGGGTTTTTTTCTTTCTTTTTGGCTTTCTTAATGATTGTCATGTGATTTCTGTTTTAGTTTCCTTTTCTCACCTGTAGGTCTGTTTGTTATGCAGTAAATGTAGTTCTGCTTTTTGGATCACAATAGACAAAAATGCTTCAAAACATGTTGTCCCTAAACTAATACTAAATTTTATTGCAGTATTGTTAGAAATGTTGAAGTCTGACCATTTTTACTTTGGAATTATGTTGGGAGATCATTAGCCTGCATGAAACCTCTGAAATGTGCAACATTCAGTTTGCTCTACTTGGTCCATGCATTGATGGGCATGGGTAGGACTGAGCTTGCAAATGTCATAAAAAGGTGGCTTCATTTCTATATTTTAAAATCTGGATTCCAGTGTTATCCTCCCCCCCAAAAAATCTCAGTTAATAAGATAGAAATGCTGCAGTATCTTCTTTGGCACCCAATAACGTATGGATGCAGCTTTGACATTGAGCAAAACGGATGTGCCTTTTTAATCAGTCTTGCAGTTTTGAACTGTTTTATCCTATAGAATGCTAAGATTAATACCCGGGATATTTGGGTCACAGATGGGTTCCTTAAAGTGGTTTTTTTGGGGCAGAGTGTTATATAAAATGCAGAGGATCAGAGAAACCCAGTTCTTTTTCTAAAACAGTGCCAAGGATTTGCCGGTTTTGGGATTTTTCATAGCAGTGCTGGATCTGTAAAGCAAAATAATTCCTTCTGAATAATTAAATGCATTGGGTGGGAGTGAATAATGTATTGTACTTTTGTAATAATATTGTATGTACAGTAATTATGTTATATAACTGATGGAAATAAGTTAAAACAAAGGATGGAAACTGAGGTGGAGGCAAATTTTGATTTATATTTTTTGAAGTCCAGATTGCAGTTTCTGGATGGAGAGGGGGAGCTGCAGTTCCCCTTGCCTGGGAGCATAAGACTTTTAGATAACTAAGACACTAAGGCTAGTGTCCTGTGCACAGTTACCTAGGGAAAGCCACATTGAGACATGCTTGCTAATACGTATATTGCCACCAAATCTGCTTGCTAAAGAATGGATTGTGTTTACTTGTTATTTGGACAGGAACTGGTGGTAGCTTGAGAAATGCCATTGATGAAGGCAAAAACAAGCTACAATAATTTATCACTTCTGAATAAGTGCATATTGATAATATGATCATTCATCATTTTAGAACTTGTATTGCCTGCTTGGTACAGAGAGTAAAGATTTCTTTCCTTTTTTATTTGCAGCCTTGCCTCCTAAGCCTCCTAAGCCTAATACTGTAACAAATAATGGTATGAATAACAACATGTCTCTGCAAGATGCTGAATGGTACTGGGGCGATATCTCAAGGTAAGGGCAAGAAGACACCTTGCATTTTGGCAGTTACATAGCACATTGCTTCTTTAAAAGGAATACTGCAGTCTCCTCAGAACATTTGTAATATAGGTTTACATTCTATAGTTTTAAAACATTAAAAGGCAACCAACTTAGAAACACAGAATTAACACAGCCCTCTAAACATTCCACTGTTAATTTATTACAGGTGCAAGATTGTTTTGTCAATATATGATGAGTGCCCAATGTTTCTTAATATCTAAAGCTGTTGTTAAGACATACCAAAGATCTCTTCTATTTTGAGCCTTGTGGTATATAAGGGAGAAAGTAGGCTGAAACCAAATTCTCCCTTGGCATAAATATCTTTGAATAAGTGGGTAAAACAGTCTTCCACTGGAATAACTGTTCTGAGAAGAACAAGTAATTAGAAGAATTCATATGTAGACTCTGGGTGCTTGCGCTCAGCATAATAAAAATAAAGAATGGAAAAATAGATTCTGAGTAAAAGACTAGTATTTTTAGAAGTTGGAAACTAAACTGGATGTTGCTTTTGGGTCTTTCACAGGGAAGAAGTCAATGAGAAGCTTCGTGACACTGCTGATGGTACATTCCTGGTACGAGATGCTTCCACCAAAATGCATGGGGACTATACACTTACACTAAGGTAAAAACAGTTGAATTGGAGTATTTATTTATTTATCTATTTACCATGACTGCATTTAAGAGAACTTTTCAGTGTAAATATGAATGCTTCCTTTTTCTGAATCTTATTTACAGGAAAGGGGGAAATAATAAATTAATCAAAATTTTTCACCGAGATGGGAAATATGGCTTTTCAGATCCATTAACATTCAATTCTGTGGTTGAGCTAATAAACCACTACCGAAACGAGTCTTTAGCCCAGTATAATCCAAAACTGGATGTTAAACTGCTTTACCCAGTGTCCAAGTATCAACAGGTAAATTTTTTTCTGTTACCTAACCCCTCCCCTCATGCTTGACTACAGAAATATTATCTTTCAATTAATCCCTGAGGGCTAGGAGACAAAGGCCTTTAAAAATAAGTTTCTGTTGAAATTGCATTTGAAAACTGCAGATATTTCTCAAGAGAATATTAAGAGGCAATTTGTGTTAATGTCACCAGATGAAGAAGTGGAGTATAGCCTATGAGAGAAAGTTCATACCACATCAGTCCTGTTGATCTAAGTAGCCACATAAGGTTGTGTTGAGTTTTGCTACAGAACTTACTTAGCTGCTCTCCTAGAGTACTGTCATCAGTCAAATAAACCTACTCATCACTGTAATTAGTTTGTCTATATAATAATGCAAACTCCAGTAGTTTTTGCAAAACAAAAGAAGCAGCTAATAATGGAATAGTTTTGTGGTTTTTGGAGGGGTTTTTTGTAGGCAAGAACCTACCATTGTATCTGTTGAACACATCAGGTGCCTTGTTCCACAGGAAAATGTGTCAAATGTACACTTGCTTTTGGTGGCAAATATAAGTAGTAAACTCTGTCATGCACAGGACATATTCCTCATGCTGTGATAATGGATAATGTCATAATGGATAACTTAATGGATAATGTGTTCCTTCCTTTACAAATGACAGTTCTTTAGTAATTACAGTTTTATGGAAAATGTATTATAAGAAACTGTATCTTCAGTGAATGTGTTTCTGTGTTCATCTCCTCTCAGGATCAAGTGGTTAAAGAAGATAGTATTGAAGCTGTTGGAAAGAAATTGCGTGAATACAATATCCAATTCCAAGAAAAAAACCGGGAATATGACAGGCTCTATGAAGATTATACAAGAACATCTCAGGTGAGGACCATAAACCAGAGTTAAAAAGCAATCAACCACAGCATGGCCCATTTACTTTAGTAAGGCTTATGCTGACACTGTTTCAGTGTTGAATTACAACATCCAGTTGCAAAGTTCTCCAGCAGTAAACCAGTAATGAAGTCTTGAATAAAATAAATGCAATAAATGATAGATATCTTAGTATATGAAGAACTACTTCAGTGTGCCCAGGAATTAAAGCACATCTCAATAGGAGTTTTTTCCTCATTATTCTTTCAGGGTTTGACTTTCAGATTCAAAAACAATTCACTGTGTTATGCAGCAGGGAGGGCTTGCACACAAAAGTTCCTTCTTAGTGTCTCTCCATTTTGGACTAGGAAGTACTCTTTAGCATGTTGAAGAGTTTCTTTTAATTAGTATAGACAATACTGATAGATGAATGGCCTGATCTGATACAGGGCAGCAGCATATATTCCATGAAAAGAAGTTGATTCTTTGTACTCAGAGGGATGTTGCAGGCATTCATAGATGTGCTTCAGGGATAGAATGACCGGTCATGTTTTGCATTTTCCTGAAGATATGTCTCTTTTCTCATCCAGGAAATTCAGATGAAAAGAACGGCTATTGAAGCATTTAATGAAACCATAAAAATATTTGAAGAACAGTGCCAAACACAAGAAAGATACAGCAAAGAATATATAGAAAAGTTCAAGAGGGAAGGAAATGAGAAGGAAATACAAAGGTTGGTGGTAGCTATATCTTAAAAATAAAAAAAATCACGTTCCCCTCAGAAACTGGCAAACCTCAGCAATACATGACAGTCTTGACCAGAATCTAATCTTCTAACCTGTTTTTCTCTAGAATTATGCACAACTATGAAAAGCTGAAATCTCGAATCAGTGAAATTGTAGACAGTCGGCATAGACTGGAAGAGGATTTAAAGAAGCAAGCTGCTGAGTACAGGGAAATTGACAAGCGCATGAATAGCATTAAACCAGACCTAATACAGCTCAGAAAGACTAGAGATCAGTATTTAATGTAAGTCTCAATAGCTGCCAGAGTTTTAACTGCATTTCTTTTAGAGAGTCCAATTTTTATGGATATTACCATGACTAACCATGTCTTTAAAACTGCTTCCTAGGTGGCTTACCCAGAAAGGTGTTCGGCAAAAGAAATTGAATGAATGGCTTGGCAATGAAAATACAGAAGAGTGAGTACCGAAAGCTTTTTGGGATACTTATATCATTTCAGTTAAGCTTCAGTTCAGTGCTATTTCATTGCTAGAATACAAATTGCCATGACATATAAATTGTTGTAAATATAATATAAATTATCTCAACTGAAAGGATCATGTTACTTTTTTTTACTGGGAAAACGTGACTGGGCACCCAGTATAATTTTTTCTAGTAGTTTAAGATTGGGGTATTTGGCAATTTCTGGTTTTCTCACTTCCTTGATATCATAAACTAGCTTGGTCTTTTGCTTGTCTGAAGATTAGGATGACAAGAGCGATAGAGGTATTTAATTTAATCCCATTCTTCATGAATTGCCAGTTCAGTGCTATTATAGTTTTGGCTACTGACATCATCATCGTGGTGTTTAAAACAAGCCTTTTTTATACTTTCTGTTACTTTGTTTCTTTGTTGCAATACAGAGAAGCTGTATTGCATCCCTTCAAGAGTCCTTTGTGCACAGGGCCCCGGTAGGTGTGTCACGCCCACTCTTCTAAGGGCACTCGTCTTCTTTTGCACTCACATTGTGATTTGCCAGAAGTTACCGTATATGCCGGCGTACAAGATGACTTTTTGGCCCTGAAAAACATGCCTCCAAGTGGGGGGGGCGTACGCCGGGTGCACTTCAACCCCAACAGCCCAGAGCGGGTATATCCGCGCGCCCCTGACAGCGTGAAGCCGAATCGTGTCTCTGAGCGCCCCTCCAGCGGCTGACTCTGAATGCCAGGGCACCACGGCCCTCTGTTCGGCAGCTCCAGTCTAGGAGGGAGCTCCCCCGAGTCAAAGCCCAGGCAGAGCTCCACCAATATTCCCAACTCCCAAAAATGCCGCTCCTGGTTCTCGGACCCGGCAGTTCTCCCGCTGTTCGAGCTGCTCAAGTTGGTCTCCCTGCAGGCACAATCCACGTAGCCGGTTTTCAAAAGTATCTCTCCCCCCCCCTCGTCTCGGCTGGTCTCTCCGGTTTGTCTCGCTGGTCCTCCGGAGGGAAAGAGAGGCATCCTGGCAGCAGAGTCCTCCAGGCAACAAACGGAGGCAGCACTTCAAAGTGTTTCAGATGCTTTGAAACAGACACCTCACAACCCCAGACATTTGGTGTGTGGAAGGTGTGCAGAAGAGGGAGTAGTCTTGTATGGCAAGTATATAAGGATCTCTATATTTTGAGTGGAAATGTTGGGGGGGGGTCGCCTTATACGCCCAGTCGCCTTGTATGCTGGCAAATACGGTAATATAATCTGAAGTATCTGGAGCAATTGAGTGAAGTGCAACAGGTCTTCCTGCATCTATTTGATGTTTGAATGATACTTCTTGAAGCAGATAGCACATAATACAGTATGCCAAATATTTGAAGCAGGGAGCCAACAAAAAAGATAACTAGCAAAAATAGGGGAAAACCTGGGAGAAAACTAATTACTGTATAGTGCTGCATTACTCCATGTAAACTTGAACAATCTTCATTATTTCAGGGCCTTCTCCAACTAGTTCATGAGTCCATTTTGTGATGTCGGGAGAGCAGTGTGTATTTTGGTTCAGTGAGACTAGAATCTTTTAGGAACTGAGCAGTATAAATTGGAAATGGCATAACTAGTTGTGCCAGCTGTCTGTTGCACACTCATACATGCCCAGTTTATGCTCTGAGTTGTGTGTCCAGGCACCATGACAGATGACTAGGATGTTGTCAAAACCATATGTACAATTCCTCTCACATACTTAGGTTATTTTAACCTAAGTCTTCTGTAGGCTTATGTGTACACGATTCTTAGTATATTTCAAAATATCTTATGTTGAACCATGTTGGCACTGGGAGTGATGATCATACGAAAAATGCTAGATGAAAACTTCACAGGCATATTTTTTAAAATAAAATGGTTTGTTGTCCTAACATGAAGTAGACAATAGCACGAAGCACTTCATGTTGTGTTGTCTAAGTTGTCGGCACATTCACTTTCCCCACTCCTCCCCAGCTGGCTCCCCCACTGACCTACCAGCATTCGCTGCTCCTTCCCTCCTCGCCACACAATTTTTCATTCCAGGAGGAGCCTGGCCTTTCCTTCTCTGCCTCCCTCCGCAGCTGCCCACTCAGATGAGAAGGTGGGACATGGATTCCTACAGCACAGCTGGAGGAGGCAGGGAAGGGGAAGTCTGTGATCCTGCCAGAATGGAAGATCGCATGACAGGGAGGGAGGGAGCAGTGCGCAATGGCAGGTCAGTGGCGGAGCTGGCCGAGGGGGTGGGGACAGTGAACACACAGCACCTGGGGTGCTGCGCTGACAATTTAGACAACATGTCACAAAGTGCTTCCTGCCTATCTCTAGTAGACAAGTGTCTTGGTATCAGTGAATTGCAGCAAGACCTAGTATGGTATAGATGCTCTTTTGTAAAGTAAAGACTCAAGTAAAGAAGTCTGCAGTTGTAGTTGTATTGCCCCAAACTTGTCAAAGTAGTGATGAACTTCAGTTAGGAAATCACAGAAAGTTGCATTTTATCCTCATAAAACATGCTGCCTGAGTCATCTTTTCAACTACTGAACTAAATACATTTGGATGTTTTAAACAGCCAATACTCTATGGTGGAAGATGATGAAGATTTGCCTCATCATGATGAACGAACATGGAATGTGGGAAATATCAACCGAAGCCAAGCTGAAAATTTGCTACGTGGAAAACGGGATGGAACGTTCCTTGTTCGAGAGAGCAGCAAACAGGGCTGTTACGCCTGCTCTGTTGTGTATGTAGCCAAACATTTTGTGCTATTTCTAAAGCAATGTATAGAATGTTAAATTAACCTTCCCCCCCGCCTCAAAATTAAATGCATCATCTCTACACCTGTAGCTAATGGATTTTCTCCCTATGACATTTAGGCAAGTTCAGGCCCAAATATCTGTCTAGTTGGGCTTCCTTTGAAGGGGTCATTTTACTGTAATTTTGCGGCTTTAAATAATATGCCTGTGCACATACACCTCAGACTTTCAGGATATGATATACTATAAAAGACAAATAAGTTTAAATGAAGGACAATTGAGGATTTTGCTCTGAACTGCCTGATCATCATACCCAACCAACATGACCTTGGCTGTGGAAGATGGTGGTTGTTATCCAGCGACTCTGGAAAACACGAGATTGGGGAAGGCTAATCTAAATATTAACTTCTTTACTTTAGTAATCACTAATCTTTTCAATGCTATTTGATGTCACCCTTATTTGTCCCACTTGCTTAAGCTAGCCTGTCTGTGCTGATCTGTCACGATGAAGGAGAGCTTTCCATCTGTTTTTGTAAGCATGCTTTGTAATGCTCATCTTGCTCTTGAAGCATTTGCTTCAGATGCTCAGTGAAACTCTCTTCACATCAGCTTGTTGTTCTGCCTCATGTAGGCTTAGCTTAATTTCTGAGTAAAATCATTCATGCTTCAGAAAAATTCTTCATTAACAGGATGACAGTGAAATTAAATGATTTCTAAATTGAACAACAGCACAATTGTATAGGCTTATATAGATTGCATCTAATTGGCATTCTTCTACTGACAGGACTTATTGATTCATTAGTGATTTCACTTATTAAAATGACAAGGTGGCAATTTTTGACTGTTCTCCTGTTGAAACCCAAAAAATCTGCCTCGCAGGCAAGGTACCCTTTAATTTTTAGCACCGCTGGGTAGGCTCCGCCTCTCTTGTGTGCATCTGTGCCCCTCTGTGCATGCATGACTCCATCACCCACCCACCCCTTATGTGGGGTTCTGTCGTGACTGGAACCACAGGCTGAATACTATTGCTGGGCTGAGGATGGGGAAAGCAGCATGGAGGAGGGGTGGAGTCCCATGCAGACATGCAGGTACCAGCATGGGAGATGGCATGGGGACTGTGGACAGGAATGTGACTGCCACAAAACGTCCTCCATTCCCATTCCACTGACAGAAGACTGCTGGATCAAATAAGCACCTGAGAATGGAGTCAGAGTGACATAGTGTATGATCCATTAAGTTCAGTGAGGCCCACTTGTATTAAATATGTATAGAAATACTGTTCAAAGATGAATAAATATTGTGGAGGTGTTGGAAATGTTACAGAGAAAGCCTTGAAAAAAAGAAAACTGAGGGGGGGGAGATATGATAACACTCTCTTCAAATAGTTGAAATGTTATACAGAGCAGGAGGAGCAAGATTTGTTCTCAATCATCTCAGACTATAGGAAACATAATAATGGGCTCAAGTTACAGGAATCCAGATTTTGGCTGAATATCAGGAAAATCATCCAAACTGTTAGAGCAGTACAGCAATGGAACCAGTTACCATGGCATGGGAGTGAGTGTTCCATCACTGGAGGCAATCAAGAGATAATTAGAGAAGTATCTGATAGATATAGTCTGATTTAGACTCTTGCGTTGAGCAGGGGGTTGGATTCAGTGGCCCTATAGGCCTCCATCAACTCTATTATTCTGCCCATGGGGTAATTGCAAATATGTTGTTAAATAATACAACTAAAATAGAGGAAGTAATTTTAGATTATACAGTAATAATGGATTTAAATGTATTTTCATTGTTTTATTTGCAAGACAAGTCAAGTAAGTTCTTCTTTTCTAACATAAGAACTTCCATCTTTTCTTCCTTAGTGTGGATGGTGAAGTGAAGCACTGTGTTATCAACAAAACACCTACTGGATATGGATTCGCGGAGCCATATAACCTGTACAACTCGCTGAAAGAACTGGTGCTACATTATCAACACACATCGCTAGTGCAGCACAATGACTCTCTCAATGTCACACTAGCCTATCCAGTATATGCACAGCAGAGGCGATGAAGATGCTAATACTCTGGGATTTGTCTCTTTTTATTCAACACCCACAAAGATAATTCAAGAATCCTGAAGCCTCTGGGTAGAGAAGGCTCTTGAGTTGGAGTGAAGGTGTCAAAGCCATCTGTCTTTGAATGGGACTGAAGCTTTCTTCACAACTGCAGTGGAAGAGATAGCTGAGTTGAGAGCTGTGAACACACATTTCTAATCTAAAGTGCTTTTAAAAAAACAAGCAAAGGAAAAATACACAATGAGAGAGAAGTGTTCTCTCCCTGTAGGGATGTAGAGGCCTTTAACCGTGGTGCTTGCAGACCATCTTTTTGAAGCTTTAAGAGCTCAGATGTTGGAACTCTGAAGACCCCAAAGTCTAACGGGGGCTGTATAAATGGCAGCAGAAATTCTCAGTTATTGTGATTTGGGTGATGCAGCTGCAAATAGGGGGTGCAGTTGCCCACAGCTCTGGATTGCTGATTTCATGGAGAATATGTAGCAGAATGGCACTTTCATTTTTAAGGGACACTTTAAAGACTTCAGCAGTCTTTCATCAGAGAAATGGGCATGGTGACAGAAAGTGCCAGGAAGTGTTTTTTGTTTAGACATTGAAAATCTTGTTTTAAAGAAGATATTTAAGACTGAAGAAAACTGGACTTTTATGGACTACAGTATATAATATGTACATAGTTCTGGATTACTAGCTATCATAGACGGCTACCTTCAGTACCAAACTTATTCTGTTCATTATTTGGTTTTCAAAAAGCTGAATCCTTACACTGCTATGCAATACTTCATTTTCTGTAGGCTGTTTTTGTTTCAAGTGTAACTAGAGGATAAGCTTGCTTTATTTTTTTCCTTTGTCATCTCAAAATGTTCTATTAACTCATATTTTTGTGTTAATTTTCATTATGTTCATTCCCCACCCTTTTTTAATTTTAAAAAGAAATGTACAGGATGTCAGTAAAAGTTGGCATTGGAATTTAAACTATGAGCTGTTTTAACAGGGTCCCCCCGCCCCCCCGTTTTAAAGAGTATTGAGCTGCAAGCTCAAGGTTAAAATTGAAGACTTCTTTTTTTTTTAATTAATATTTTGTTGGGCAGTGCCTGATAAGCATCAAAGCTGCTTTACTCAATAAAAATATATGAACATTGCAAAGTATCTCTGATTTCAGCAATATTGTTTGGAAAATATATTCCGATTATGATATCCCACTATATTCGATTCAGTTTTAGGTATTTCTCCTGGGTGTACTTGTATTTGGAAGACGTTTCCATCTTTTTTTGAATGCTGCACATAGAGAGATGGAAAACACTGACTGCTAGAGTAGATAAATCAGATTTAATCTTTCAGACCTGTGTAAAATTCTGGTCAACAATTCTAGTAGACACTGCATCAAGATACTGTTTATATCACATGAGATAATTTTGCTTTCTTTTAAAAAAAATTGTGCATTTGGCATCTATATTTCATAATGTATAACAATAAGAGTAATTTTAGAAAGCTCTTGTTTTTGACACCTTTCCCCCCACAAATATTTTGTTACATTTGTCTCTTTTAAATTAAAAAAATACAAAGATTTTCATTTGAAAGAGAAAAGAGATATCAGCTACCAACTGAGTAAAAGTAATGAATAAAACATAAAACCTCAGTATTATAGTGTTTAACCAAATTCTGCATTTCTTCAATAGCAAAATAAAGACCATAGTTGTATTTTATATTTTCCACCAAGGAACTCTGGGCAGATTTCCTTTTTCAGTAAATAAGCATAGAGAAAATAGATCTTGTAGAGCGCTTTATGGTTTTGATCCCTTAGGCAATCTGTGCTTCTTAAAATGAAGCATCAAGGACTACTTGTAGATATATTTTTATTGTTTGCTAACACTATAAAAAGTTGGTTTTGTTTCCACTTTTTTTAATTTACCAATATTTTTACTATCTGATGCTGTGTGAAAAGATTTTTTAAACAATAATATGTTGACTTAACTTTCCTGAAGAATGTAGCTTATTTCAGCATTCTTCAGGGTTCACTTCAGACTCCTTTAAAAGTCAACAGGGATTTTGCCAACCTTCAGAGAGACTTTGGAAGGAGTTAGGGCTACCACTGCAGGCTGCAAATTTTAATCCTCTTGTGCTGAATTAGTCTCACTAGAGTCAGTGGAATGACTCTAGGTCTTCTCAGGAGGAAGTGGACTAAATCACATTTCATCTCATGGAGCAAAGATCAACCCCAAATTGCCCCCCCCCAGTTTTAACACGTTTCTTGACTCTTTCCCTAGACCTCTGAAGGGCAGAAAAGCATGCATCTTGCTCTTGTTCTTAAAAGGCAACTTGTGAGTGGTTGATGAAGAGCAAGTAATTTTAATTTTAATCTGACCAAAATGCACTTTGATAGAGCAACATGAATGTGCACCAGTAGGTTCCCATACCTGACTTACTGTCAAATCTGGTCCTTCTCTTTGTAGAGGAGAGAAGCCTGGTTCTAGGTCCCTTTTTTAAGAGAGAAAACGGGGGCCTGTGTTCAGCCATCCTACCACCACAACCCTTCCCCCCCAAAACAGTTGATCAGTACTTCAGTTTGAACAGTATTGACCATTTGTTTGGTGCTGTGTGCTGTTGCCAATCATGTATTGGGAACCACCTGCATAGTCCCTGGGTGAGCCTTGGGGACTACCTGCACAGTACCCGTTTTAGCAGGTGGTTCTCAATTCCAGCAGCAGATACTCATGCAAAAGCCAGCTTCTCCACATGTGACTCCCTCTCTGGTTGAGAACACAGAGAGACAAAACCAAAATTACTGAACTGCGAAGATAACAGGGCTTCTGGAATAAGAACTGCCATGTTTATATCATGAATGCATCTACTACAGACAAAACAAGTTATGGATTCCTTAACTTGAGGCTTAGGTTTGTGGTCTCTGATGTACTTTTATATACGTGTGTATGGGAGAGAGAGTGCATGAATGGATGTATTTTGGCTGCAGTTTTCAATGAATCTAAGCATGCAGTGAATTTTTTCTCCAAATTTCCCATTTATTCAAACTGGCTGAAAGCGACAGGCTGGCAGTGTTCCTAATTGTATTTTAGTGTTTGGAGTTCATTGTCGTTTCATGTGTTGTTAAGCTGTCCTAAGGGTTCTCTAAACGTTTTGGCATTTCAGTTTGTTGAAAAATAAAATAAAATCAAAAATAGTATCAAATTCTGATAATCAGAAGCTTGTGTAAATGGGAATGCTGTTTGCATGGAAATAATTCAGATACACAGGATTTTTTTTCATAAAAGATATTTGAATATGGAGGAAATCTGTTCTCCATACAGCTAACGTACAAAATGGTGTATTTCACCATCTCTAATTTGTTTTGACAACAAATACACACACTCCCCACTCCTCCTCACTTGAGCTTCACTAGTGAAGAATGAATAGCATAGGTGTGTCTGAATTTACTTCAGGTCACTTGTTCAAAAGGCATAGGGGAGCTTGGAAAAGATGTTTCTAGAATTTGTTTTAATGTGTAAGCCAAATCTTATGTTTCAATGTCAGCTGTTGTAGAAAAAGTGGCTTTGTCTTGTAATTAACAATGAGCTATGATGCTTTGGGGGGTTATCATTCTGATGTGTTTTTTTTTAATTGTGAAGAACATTGGTTCGATTTAACACAGAGCTTTTGCTATGCATGGTATTTGTTTGGAAAAGTGATTCCTATAGTGGCTTTTGTTCAGGATCGCTTTCCAGAATGGGCAGTTCCAAGCTCAATGCCTCCCATGGGACACAGTTCAAAATGCAATGTTCCTTTAAACAAACAAACAAAAAGTAGCACGATCTCACTAAAATGAGCCAGATACAAAATTAGGAAAAATTGCCTTGCCATTTGTCCCTATGAGATTGCATTAGCTGCTCAAGATGCTGCTATTTTTATTCTTATTTTCCCCACCTTAAAAATAAAGCTAAGCTCTGTTCTCTTAAATGTCTTTTAAAACATTATTTTTTTTTGTTTTAATTGATTTTTTTAGGGAGGCAGAGGCTAAACAGATCAGTTGCACATTGCCTTTAAAAGGCAATATTAACAAATTCACCTCCTTAGAAAATGTTGGCTTTCTTAAATTGATGGAGCTGTTGTCCTGTTTTAAGTTGCTTTTAAAAAATTGTACTAGGTCTTCAACCAGAATAAAGGTTGTTTTGAAACTGCACTTTCCATGTTGACTCCTCTTCTCAATGAAGGCGTTGGCACATCACTGCCAGTCTTCTGGGTTTGTTTTCTGATAAATAACGAAAGTCAAAAGGGAGCCAAGGATTAAAGCAGAGGATTTTCAAATAAAATCCTAGGCATGAAGGGGGAAACAATACACTGAAGTTTTGTGGTTTCTTCTACAGGATGGTGGGCTCTTTTCTCCACCCTTTGGGGCACAGTCCTATGAATGGAGAAGTCCCACTCTCACACTCTTCCTTGTTGCTGGCAAAGACATCACTTTCTCACACTTGTAATACCAATGGAAAAAAGGGTGGGAGGGAGAGCTGTTAAAAGATCTGAGGGGAGGTGGCTTTCAGTCAGCTTCCAAAGGTGTCCTGTACTCTCAAGCATGATCCTAGGATGGAGGGGAAAGTATGCAGCTTCTGTAGTGCCCATCTCCACCAATTAGTGTGGGTTTGCCTGGCCCTGGATTTCAGCCATTTCTTTGCCATGCATTCTCTGTCATCCAAGCTGTTTGGGTTGTTCTGCCTATTTGACAGTCGTTAGTAGTTGGATTTGTTCCAATGCATGCTATACGTATGTATTCTTTCTAAATGTGTGGCAGCAGTATAGTCCCACTTTATGGGTTCTCCTAAATGACAGCTGATTTTAAAAACATGAGATACTTGCTCTCATCTGCTATAAACTTTCCAGTTGAGACTCTGGAGTTCTCACTGGCACCTGGTGGACAGATGTGTGTGTGTTTCTCTTAACTCTTTTCCACATGACAAATCACTTGAAACTTGAAGAAGCACCATGCTGTGCCGAGCACACTCAGTAACCTCCAATTTCAGAAGCTAAGCAAGGACTGGCTTGTTTAGTATTTGAATGGGTAGCCGTCAAGGGCCTTGGGTAGGGCTGGGAAGGAAGTCTGCCTCAAACTTTGAAGAGTTGCTGCCAGTCAGAGTTGGTAATACTAGGCTAGATTTCCAGAATGGGCAGTTCCAAGCTCATTGTGAGGCAGTTTTCAATGTTCTTATGACCTTCTAAAGCTGATTATGATAAAAGATGAAGCACAGTTTTTTTTAAAAAATGCAAATGGCTTGAAAGAATGCCACTTGGCATTCCCAAATAATTGGACACACTTCAAGTAACTATTAAATGTCCTTGATTAAGCCCTTTTCTTCTCTGAAATTTCAGGCCTTTTGTACTTTTCTTCCAGTCTAGCCAAATTCCATCTATATGGCTTCTAAGAAAACTATAGAGAGCCAGGGCTTGTTCAAAGAGGAAGCCACCTCTGTGAGTTGGGGGTTGAGGGAGATGTGTATAAGACAGGGCTCAGCAGCCTTTGGCCCTTCAGATGTTTTGGACTACAACTTCCATAATCCCTCAGTATTGCCCATGCTAGCTGAGGCTCTTAGGACTTGCAGCTGAAAACAGCATGTGTGTCAGAGATTCTCCACTGTGGTACAGGAGATGCAAAGACATACTCTTTCCAGATACACTTTTACAAACAGCCAAGCATTTGACTGAAGTGGGCAGAGATGGAGAGAGTTCCTTTTCTGTAGCCATTACAAAACTGGTCTGTGAAATAAATAGGAAATACACACAACATAATATCTTTAGTGTCTTTCTTAATGACTCATATTTCCTATTTTAAATTGCACAATTTATTAAAATTTCCTTATAGCCAGTGTACCTTGAAAAATAACAATCTGTGTTAGTTACCGTATTTTTCGCTCCATAAGACGCACAGACTTTCCACACCCCTGTTTTGTGGGAAAAAAGTGAGTCTTATGGTGCAAAAAATACAGTAATTATTGAAATACAATTGTGTCATATTCTCAAGTGCAGAGAAAGTGACATGGCTAAATCCAGTTTATTTAATGGCTCAGTGACCTCTTTCCCCCACATCTAGCAATATCCCTCACAACAATGACAAGCTCTCTTGCTGCCAAGCTGATTGCCATTTAGGAGTCTTCTGCTTCAGTCACTTTAGAAAGCCATCTAGACATAGTTGGGAGCCAAGAGAACCGTTTGTTATTACAGTACATTTATATCCCATATTTCCTCCAGTGAGAGATACTCAGTGTGGTAGAGGATAAAGTGGTAGACTAGGATTCTGGAGACCAGGTTTTCAATCCCCACTCAGCCATGGAAACTCATTGAGAGCGTGGAATTGATAAAACCACTGCTTAAATACCTCATTTTGAAAGCCTTAGTAGGGTCACTATAAATAAATCGCAACTTGAGGGCACATAACCATCTTCCTCCAATGAGCACCAACTTCTGGCTTTATCCTTATCCTGAGAGGTAGGATCAACTTGCTGGCCTCCTCCTGGCTTTATCCTTATCCTGAGAGGTAGGACAGGCTCAGGATGTATATGACCAGCTCAAGCTCATCCCATCAGCTTCATGACTTCAAAATGTGACCAAGATTTGCTGCATTTAGGAGCCCTGCTGCTTGTTACAGAGAGTAGGACTCGGGGAGTAGGGGTCTCTCCTAAAACCCTGTTATTGTGAGAACACAGTAGAGTTTGTCCAACTGTGAGAAGGCAGTAATCTTGGAGTTGCCTCAGATATAGTTGCCTCATGAGTTGCAGTCACAGAAGTACCACTTTGACAGAACAGTCAGACTTAAGTTCACTTTTATGACCAAGTGGGAATTTGAACCCAGATCTCCGAAAATTGTAGGTCAACACACTAATCACTATGCCACACTGGCTCTTTGGACATGTTTTACCAAAATGTCCCCTTCCATCATTTTTAAGCACTTCTTCAGCTTTAAATATTTAAAGGAATATCACACCATACACACCTCCCTATGCTCTGAGATCAGGACCACAGGCCGTTCTTAGCGTGCCTTGTCAGGCTGGTATGCACAGAGGAGGAGGGGGGCGCAAAGGGCCTTTTTAATCATGGCCCCTCATTTATAAACTGCTTTCCCGCAAAAGGCTTGTTTGGTGCCTTCTGTAATGTATGCTGTTTTATTGGGCACTGAGAGGAAACTTTTTACAGGCTTTTAATGCCTTCTCCCTACTCACCTCTGATTTTCCATCCTAGTGTTTGCATATTTTACACCTATCGGCACCTGCCATTTAGACCTGTCAGCACCTAGCTTTCTCTGCCTTTCTGTATCATTTGTTTTACTACTCTTTTAGAATTGGAACATTTTTTTGCACTGTAAATTGTTTTACAATGGTTGTAATGGCCCAGATAATAGTTAATTAATTCAATAAATAGATATGATGCATGTAAAATAGGAGAAATTTTATTTTAGTCACAACACTCGGTGTTTCTCCAGAGCTGAGGTTCACTGCGACGCATGTGTGTGCAGACCTCTGGCTTCTGCTGTGGATTATTTGCTATGGTTGCCAGCTTTCACTCAGAGAGATCCACAGACCCAAGTTCCTAAACAGGAATGAACTGCCCATCAGTCAAGCCCTTTTGTTGTCAACTGATCAGGTCACCATGTCTCAAGTGCTTCTTATATGTTTCATCTCTTCAAGGCTGTAGGTCTGCAAATGCCAGAGCATGTGCTTCAGTGCAATTTATATTTTGCTCATCTGAGCTAGATGAGAAGCATGAAATCACTTGCTGAATGGTGAATCAACATTGATATCAATCCCAACAAGGTTGTTCTGAGGATAAAGAAGGGAGGTCTATTGGAGAGGTGAGGAATACTGACAATTAATACATAAACATACGTACAGTAAGGGTATGCCCCCCCAAACATTTCTGTACCAAAACAAAGGGCATACAAATTGGGGCTGACTCATGCCGTACCCTTTAAGAGACATTCCAACATGCATTTTCCTTGGGCCAGAGGATTTTGTGTGTTTTCAGATCTCTGATTTAAACAAACAAATACAACAAATAAAATAGCAAATGGGTATGACTTGGGGAGGCTAACCATTGACCCAGCTGTGTGACCTATCTACTCAAAGCCCATACAACATTCGTCCTTCCACAATCATGTACACACCCAATCCTCATACTGTAACAATATTTCACTTAAGTTTAGGAAATGAAACTGAATAAAAGAACAAAGAAAAAGGAGAATGTTCCGGAATGTAGAAAGGCAACCCAAAGACACAACTCTTCCTTTTCTCCCCACAGCTCCCTGAAATAACTGATAGAGTGGCTGTGATCTTCGCCTGGACCTTCCCTAATGCCTCAGTGATTGGACGGTCCAGGGTTGATTAGGGGTTTTATTGGGAAGTTGAGCTGTCACTCAACTTCTTCTTTGGTGCCAGCAGCTGAATCTACTGTATTTTTTTTCACTTCCTCCTTCCCTCATTTCAAATTACTGCTCATCTTTTTTTACCCTGCAAATGCCAATATGAAAACTTTGTTGCTGTATTACTACACCCCACTACTCACCCCATCCTGTAGTCATCCCTGTATAACGCAAATACCCCTGATTCCATTCTAGTTTTGCCAACTTGTATAAAGACATGCTACGCAACTAACACATGCAATTTGGATCACTGATTCCAAACAGATCCTAAGGTAACAGTTGCTGCCACACTTTCAAGCCCCCAGACTTTTAATTAAACATTGTGGCTGCATCATATCTAATCAACCCTGAGTGCTCACTGGAAGGACAGATCCTGAAGCTGAGGCTCCAATACTTTGGCCATCTGATGAAAAGAGAAGACTCCCTGGAAAAGACCCTGATGTTGGGAAAGTGTGAAGGCAAGAGGAGAAGGGGACGACCGAGGATGAGATGGTTGAACAGTGTCTGTGAAGCAACCAACATGAATTTGACACAACTCCGGGAGGCAGTGGAAGATAGGAGGGCCTGGCATGCTCTGGTCCATGAGTTCACGAAGAGTCGGACAAGACTTAACGACTAAACAAGAACAAATCACATCCAAGTTGTGGTCTAATGCCAACACTGCCTGGAGATGATGGGGACTATTGTTAACTATAATGGCCAAAGTGTGGTTTCTTTCTCTCCTTTCCTCCCTTTCTTACTCTCTCCGATGCCAGCTGAAACGATCACTGTTATCCCTT